GCCACCTGATGCTGTGACCCAGAGCCCAGGACTGACCTCCCAGTGCCCCTACCAGTCCAGGGCTGCTCCCTCTCAGCTCAGATTGCCGTGGTCACGGGCACACACGTAAATACTGGGCTTGGAAGTAGTTTTCTCAGGTGCAAACTGTGCCAGAGTTTATTGCTCTGAGTTAATTGCTTGTGTAGATGCACCCGATATGGAGGAAAACACATGGTGCCCAGCTGATCTTTCTTGAGAAGAAAAACCTGCTTAACTCTTTAAGTGCTTGGGACAGGTAAACTCAAGGCCTTGTTCTTTTCCAGTCAGTCTCCTCTTTCCACAATGAAGTCATAATGCCATATTTGTCCTCCATCACTACAGCCATAACAGCCAGTGGCATCCTAACTGCAGGGTTAAGACCTCACTGTGGGGATGAGGAGAAAGCTTCTTGGGAAGGGGAATTATCTCTGACCCTAGCACACAATCCTGCTGTAGTAGCAAAGGGACATTAGAAGCCAGCTAAGTTCCCTTTCATATAAAACGATGTCCTTCAAGCGATGTCCCTAGGTATAAGTCTTTATTTGGTCATGCTTGTAACTGTATTAGATTGCTTTTTCCCCCGGCTATGTCCTGCTATATTGCCTGTAGCAACCAGGTAAAAAGCAGGATCAAGTTGTGTAATGTAGCAGTCTGTTGCAAACCTTCACTTCACTCTGTGTTTATTAGGTTGTATGGATTTGTCAGCAAACTATAGAGTATTAGATTCATAATGCAAATATACCTGGCTGAGTGCATGATCTGGAGAAGGGAGTGCTTGGAAAGGCTTTTTTGTATCTTTCGGCAGTGAAGACCTAAGCAACAGACAATTTTACCATATTCTGCTAAATGAGTCCAAACTGAATTTTGCATCCCAACAAGCCAACACGTTGTCTCCAAGGTCATGTCCTCCTGCTAGGGAAACTTGGTAAAAATGCAACAACACAATGATAGTGTCCTTCCTAGAAGAGAAAATTTGAACAGCTTTCCCTGCAGCTGCTAATGTTCATCTCTGCTGATTCTTAACAACAGAGCAAGGCAAAAAATTGAATTATTTTTCCATGGAAATCTCTGTTGTTGTTGTTGTTGTTGTTGAAAAAAAGAAGCAGAAAGCAAGTACTTCTAATGAAAAATTCAGCCTAGTTGGACAGAAAGTTTTGGGTTTTCAAAAACAGCTTTAGGAAGATTTTTAACAGATTCTGGTTAGCAATCTTGCTTGTTACAGTATGAATGGGTGCAGACTGTCATTTCAGCACAATGTTATCTGATTGCTCAAAGCACATCTGGTTGTTCCAGTGCTTAAAAATACATTTGTCATGAGTTTCTCCTAATGTTGCCAGCTTTGGTGTGAACTGGAGGTGTAGAAAGGGTAAAGAATATTAGCGTTGAGAAAGTCAAATACTCTTAAGCTGAAAGCTATGAACCACCGGAGGCATAAGAACCACGGTTCTGCTAGCTATAGAATTGTTTTCTCTTATCGGCATTTGGAACTTTTTAACTAACGTTAACGACAGTCATTTGTGCTTCATTTGCAAATAGATGAAAAATTCAATTGCAAAAACTCCTTAGGGCTCCATTCCTCACATACTCACCCCTGTGTATATCGACAATTTCAGGTCCCTGAAACAAACCAGCAGAACTACCCTGGTCAGTTTTGATGCATATGTTACAGTTCACACCAGGAGGGGACTAGGTAGCAAAGGCTGGTCCACGGAAACTATTTTGAGTGTACACTAGCAAAAGCCAAACCTTAGGCCAGTGCTTCCCAACCTTTTCCTCAGCATGACCCCATTTCCTCAGCATGGCTCCTCACTCCCAACCCACAGCCTCCCACCCCCTAGATGCCCTTGGCTGTCCACCTACAGGCCCCTGACCCTGCCAGTGCTCTGCCCCGTGGGCGGCATGGCTGGAAGAGAGCCCATGGGTGGGGGCAGATGTGGGCTGCCCACTGCAGGCTCGGGGCTCCCTGCCTTGCTGCCTTCCCCATGGAGGCCTCCGCAGCCCAGCAGGTGGGACCTGGTGTGGGAGGGCAGCGAGGCTTGGTGTTGCTGCCATGAGCCCCACAGCAGCTGTGCCACCAGGGTGAGGCACCCCCTGCAGTGGCAGTGGTGGTGGCAGTGGGGGGTTGGACCCGCCCCAGCAGGGTGTGCCGCACCGTGGCAGTGCGGCCAGTGGGAGGCTCCCAGCAGTGGTATTGAGCCTTCCTGCTCCGCTCTGCTGTGGAGGCCCTGGGGGGAGGGCAGCAGGGTGGGGACCCCCAAGCCTGCAACAGACATCTCACATTCACCTCTGCCTTGTGCACAAATCTGGGGGGCACATGCCCCCCCCCCCCCCCCATGCCTCCCCAGGATAGCATGCAGCAATGGGGAGCCAGCCCCCCCGATGCCCCCAGATGAGCCTCCCATGGCTCCATCCTGCTCCCCTAGCCTGGCCTCACATTCCCGCCCTGGCCTCAGGTCCCATACCCAGCCCCAGCCCTGCCCTACTCCCTTCCTCCTTCCTTCACCATGGGGACCTCAATTTTGTCCCCCAACCATAGCCTTACCTGGAAGGAGCTGCTGGAGCTGCTCTTCATGCTTCCTGGCTGCCACGTGCATGTGTGTGTGTGCGCACATGCATGTGGCACCCCCCTGCCTGATCACTCTCCTCCTGCTCTTCCCAGCCCCAAGCAGCGCCTTGCAGACTGGAACTCTGCCATCCTGCAAGGGGAAGCCTACCATTTTCTGCTCTTTTCTCCTTTAAAAGAGAAAATCTGTGATTGTCTTTGTGACCCCATTTTTTTACCGTTACAACCCCAAATGGGATTGCAACCCCAGGACTGGGAACCATTGCCTTAGAAACTACTACTGTGTTATTAATAATAAAGTATGAGGGCTGTATACACTCCACCTGTGTTCCCATTTGGATGTGCATTAAAGCATTGGTCCCTAGATCATGTTTGTAAAGTAAACTGCATTAACTGAACCTGTATCTAAAAATGATTCTTCTAACATGCTTTTCCTGGCATATATATATTTTGGAGGTGAATTCTGTCTTGATTTGTATCCCATACAGCCTCATTGCCTTGAGAACATTTGATCCTTTATTTGGGGGCAAATTCCTGTTGCATGGAGTAGTTTGAGGCCTTCTCATATGCAAGTTATGAGCTGTTGGCTCTTTCAGTGGCTCATTGCTTCAGTCTGAAATGTTGACAAAGATGTCAAGGGGGAAATGTGACTTTTTCACCAGGAGCAAAAGTAGCTGCTTGCTGTACTGAATTAAAAAAAAAAGATTTGCCTAGTGGAGCACTTCACGCTATTGCTACTTTGAGAGCATTGTGAAGAATAAATTCTACCCCCCCCCCACCACCTGCCTGTCTAGGCTAGTGCACACAGACATTGCCTTATTAATAAGACATGCAGATCTTTCTTCACACCCTCAGTCTCCATCTGTTTTGCTGAAGACTTGTGGAACTTATTTTATTAACAACATTACAAAAATGACCCCCTCCTTCCCCCATGTTGCCCTAGACTAGGGCCGTCCAACTTCCAAGTGGTCAGGGGCTGTACACCCTGTGGGCTGCACTAGCATTCACTCTACTACACCACACATCTGTATCAGTACCCCTCCCACTGCTGCATCATGTGCCCATGTGGGCACCCCTCCCCACTGCTGTACCACATGCCCTCCCATGCTTTGCAGTGCTATGTCACCCCTTGGGGCAGGGGCAGGAAGAGGAAGGAGGAGTCTGGAGCCCCCAGCTGTTGTTATAGTGGGAGCAGTGGTTGAGCAGGAACTCATGGGTTTCAACTTAACTCCTCAAGGGCTATCCTGCCCTAGACTTAAATATAGGACTTTGTTCTGCAAGCCTATGTCTTACTGTAGAAACAGGGCACAAAGGAAAGGGTCACAAAGCAACAGATGTGATCAGCGGTACCACAGTCCTCTATTGGTTTTTTTTGTTCTTGGCTTTGGAGGATGCAGAGACATGCTGTTCTCTTCCTAGCTTGAGCTGATTCATGCTGTAACCTTTTGCTACCCTCATGATCCAGCGCACCCTATTAGATAACTGCAAGAGCATTTCAGGCATCCGGAGTGACGGTGTGGATCTGAGTATGTGGTAGGGAGGCCCTTGGCTCCAGCTGGTGTGAGGACTGTCTCAGTGGTAGAATATTGTGCACTGGACATTAAGACTGGTTAAAGAAGAATTGGGGACGAAGGTTGTGACCTCTGCACAGTTATCTGTACCGGGTCGCAGGGATGTTATGCCATTTAGAAAAGAACAAATAAAGCAGTGAGCGACACAATTTCATCGTGAAAAACATGTCCCTGAGTATTCAGGGCTGCTCTGATATTGCAGCATTTCAAAAGAGCCCGAAAAACAGCATGTAATGGCTGTGGCGGGGCCCAGCTTTTCTGAAGTGCTAACAGTTAGTTATAGTTCTCTGCTATTTCCATCTGAGATGGTCAGGGCATTTCAGAATAACTAATTTTTCTTCCCCCCCAATAGCACTAAGAGATAGATAAGTATTATAAATCCCTTTTTACAAATGGGGAACCTAGAGTGTAGAGAATGTAGAGACATATGGGTGAGATGTACAAAGATATTTAGATGCCTGAAGATGTATGTAGGTACTTGTATGCCTTCATAAATCTAGCCTTTAGTGATTTATTTTTCTTACAGAAGACTTCTCTTTGACTCCTAGTCTTGCAGCCTAAATCCAAAATCATTCTTCCTCCTAATATGGTAAAGTGTGATAGTGTTATAAATGTTATGATTTTTTCTACACCTGTTCTGTTGCACAGAAATATCTGCGGTTGACAAGCGAGTTGGCCTGTGTGAGCTTTATTATGTGACCCACTCAGATGGCAGCATTGGGAGGCTATGACTAATTTTTAGGTTCCTGCATGTAAAGTAAATACCATGCATAACCATGCACGGTCTTGAATGTTTATTTTAAGTCTTGGAAAAGGCAAATGCATGTCTCTTTCTTCTCTCTTGGCAGAACCAGCTCCTTGCGAAGGGATTGCTGTTTATAGAGGAGAAGGTTAAACTGTGTGAAGGCAAGTACAGAGAGACTGCTTTGGTCCTGATGGGCCCTTGTGAGTCACCCTTTGATGTTTGGACAGCTGAGAGGCATGTCTTGGGGGAAAAAAATACCATCTCCAAAGTACTTATGTGGCTGGAAGATTTAAAATCCTATCTGGACAGGGTGTCCATGCTCCCCCTTGGGAGTGAGGTTGCAGTGAAGCATTTACATTGCTTGGCAGATGTCAGACTATGTTGAATCAGAGGTACATCCAAGACTCTCCCATTAGTCCTTTTCTTCACCAGGGTTCAAATATCTTTCTGAAATGCAGTTTTAAACCCAATTACTAAAGCTCTTTGATGTGGGTACTTCTTTCAAACAGAGTACTAAGCCTCTCAGGCTCTTGCCTAATACCTTGAGATGGTTTGAAACTATTTGTTGTAAGGCCAAGGGTTGTGATATCTCTGACCGTAACTTTGGTGCCAGTGATTTTGTGTCCTTTCTTTTGAATGCTTAACTACTAGGCACTGTGCAAATGTAAAGGGATGTGTGTTGCACCTGGATGAGGATGAAAATTCAGTGGGGACTGATATTTCCATATGCGAGGAGCAGGTGGCTCTGTTAGCTGCTGGCACTAGTTCCTAATCAGGACTGTGGCATCTAGATGTCTGGTGGAGGAAGGGCAGTGGCAGAGCAACCATCGGGGTTGGTCTGTGGTGATAAGTCATGTTTATTATAGGTTTGCTCAATCAGACTGGCATGGACAGCTCTCCTTCTTGAAAACTAGACTGCCACTTGCCAGTCAGAGGGCACATAACTGGATCACAAGTCAGCCTCCCCACTAACCCTCTCTATATAGGTCATTAAATACCAATGAATTCACATACTCTCACATCACTGTTGGTACTTCTCTTTTAAGCTGATTTCTCAGCTTGACAAGGAACTCGTGGGACTTGAGCAGTTGCAATCCAGTGCATGAGCTACAGCATCGGTTGCCCCCTTCCCAGGGTCTGGTGTGCTTCATAAGAGGCAGTCAGTTAAATGTCCTTAATGTACCGCTTGCCTCTTTGAGATGAAGAGATGGGACGGGATGGGAGGGAAGGAATGGAATATGCAGAGTATGGTTATGGACATACGAACAATTTTGAATAGGGCTGGGGATTTATTGCTCTGTGGTTACTGTCAATGTGTCTGGTCTTATCCTATTGTAAGTGAAAGCTAAACTGCAGCAGCTTAGCCCTATTTATTTCAGGACTAAGCTGTCCTGGTTTCACTTACCACAGTGTAACAGCAGACACCTGGATATGTCTCCAACCCCTTTGAATTTGTGATAATGTTTTTGTTTGCCCAGGCTCTGTCATTGAGAGCTAAACTGCTTCCCTTTCCCATGGGATAAAATTATGTACATGGACAGCTATCGCCCCCTACCTTCTTTTTCTCCTCGCATTAAATTGTTCATATGACTATACCATAAAGCTAAATGTGAAATTCTGTTCAGTGTCCTAAAAAAGGGTATTTATTTTAGCTACCAGTTCCTCAACAAACATTGATCAGTTAACAAACAAACCAACCAACCAAATCCTAATGCCTCCATGTAAAGCTGTTGCAATTTGTGATTCAGATTTAAAAAGCTAAGCTCCAGTCTGTCACACATTCATGATTTACCCAATTTCATGTACAAGTAAAGATCCAGCTTGTGGCTACTGGAATTACTTGGGAAGAGTGATGGTTTCTTCTGTTCTAGTTTGATAGCAAACCCCCCTACCTAACGATGCAAATATGCTCCCTTATATGGCCTGTGTTTGAAATAGTATTGTAGACATGGTACATAACGATCTCTGTGCTGCAGTTAGGACTCAGATCATTTATGGATTTTTTTTCTTCTTTTCTTCCCATAGATTATTTTTTTTAAATGGATATATCTTTTATAAAACTATCCAAATTCTTATTTCAGGGAATCTGGCTTCTTGTCACTGCTTGTGCACACTTCACTGTAAGTTTTGATTCCACAAAGGGACCTCTTGGACCAGTTTGGAGATGATGAAGTAATGCCTGTGCTATGGATTTGGCACCATTATTAGTTCAGTGCATGTGTTCTGTAATCAGAACTTCCAGTTTTACTTTGTTTTCCTAGATACAGTCTTAAAAACTTTCCATTTAATTTCTGTGGGATTTATGACCTCTAAAACAAATACACCATTTCCCTCTCTTGTGAGAGAAAGTATTCTGGAGCATTTAATTCTAGCCCCCCACACAGCAAGAGCATAGTTATAGGGAGTGGGTGTGAGGGAGGGGGAAATGCTGAAACTCAACCACATACATTTCCATCCTTCTCTTTTCACTCAGTAGCCAGTGCTGCTAAATATGTCACTGGCTCAGAGGCAGATGGGCGGGTAGGCTATATCCCTTTCACTGTGGTTAAAAAACAGATTAAGACTCGATTCCATAAACCCTACCTCACAATCTTGTTGAAGTCAATAGGGCCTTTACTCTTTATGGCTGTGTCCAAGATGAGCACAGCCATGCACATTCAGGTGTTTCCCATGCTGCTGCCTTTCACTGTGGTCTGGGGGAGTGGAGATTCAGGGGTCAAAAAAACCTGTGCAGTAAAAAAGCAGGGCAGCCCATGCGGGGACAGTGCAGACCACCCAAAACTGGAGCCTGGATGGCCAGAGCCACACTCTAGCTGTCGGGCAGGGTCCAAGCTGCAGGAACGACATGGCTGTAGCTTCACTGGCCCCCAGGACCTGGGATAAGGCTCCTGGGACCAGCAACTGTGCTGGTCCCAGCCTCCTGTACCCCACCCAGGGTAACTTAATGGATGCCAGATGGCGCATGGCGTGGGCTTTCCCCGGAGACAACTAGCAGTGGCACAAGGTGTCCCACTGCTGGTTGTCCCTGGGGAACCAAATATCCATGCTCATCTGGACGTGGCCTTTAAATCCTGTTTGCAGAATTAAGTTAGACTGGTGTAGTTTCTCTTCTGTAAGTCCTGTTTCGCAAGGGCGCTGTGCTACAGGAGTGCCAGGGGAACAATCTGTGGGAAACATAAAAGCACAAACAGAGCTTTGTAAAACTTCCCTTTATTTGTGAAAACATTTGGGTGCTAATAGGCAACACTCCAAGGAAATGCAGCTTATATTAAAGTCTCTGTACCATGAACTGATACTGCTGCTACATACAGGCTTAAGGTTGAGTTTCCAAAGCTGCCAAAGGGAATGGGACACTGGGTATTCAAATCCTCTAAGCCAGTGGTGCTGGATGCCTGGCCTGTGGGCCAGATCTGGCCCATAGAGCCATGTAATCTGGCCTGTAGGGCTACCCCCAGGTCCGAATATTTGGCAGCAGGGGAGCAGTGACACCATTAATTGCAGCTTCCATGTTGCACATAGTCCACCATAAAGCCATATGTCCACATATCACTGCAGCTTGGCCGTGCAGGGCAAGGCAGGGCTGATCTTGGTATGTGAGGCTGGGGCAAGGCAGCACGAGCCCTAATTGGGGTGTGCAGGGGCAGCATGGGCTCCGATCTTGCACATAGGGCCCAATCCAGCCCACAGACAGACTACCTGGCTTGGAGGGCCAAAAGATTTAGTGCCACTGCCCTAAGTTAGCAATCAGCATCAGCAATGTTTTCCAGCAGCATGCCCCAGCTCAGGTCTGAGACAAGGCAGCACTAGGATCTGGTTGCTGCCGCTGCTTCTTTTTGCTGCCCAGCCATGGCAGGATGTGGGCAAAGCCCCCTGCTGCTGACTACTGCTGAGGCCCCAGCTCTGCAGGTTGGATCCAATGCCTTGGTGGACTGGATCTGGCCTGTGAGCTGTAGGTTGTCGACTCTTATCCTAAGTAGCTTGGAGATCACAGCTTAAGTATTTGGAAAGATAAGTTCTGTAAATTCTGTATTCTCATAACTGTGTCTCGGACGGCCAGAGCCGACTCGAGTTGCGTTAGAAATTGGTCGTACGTTAGGGCGGGCTGGTGAATGGAGAGGCAGATACAACTTATTGGTTACAAAAAACTTTACTCACGCCGTTTGCAATCACGACGCAGGTGGTCCGGTTGTCTGAACAACCACACGAGTTGTTCCAGCTGGCGGGGCCCAAGCCAGTTAATCCGTCC